CGGGGGGGGGCAAGAAGGCGTCGGGGGAGAAGAAGAATAGGGGAAGAAAAAGTAAGAAAGAATAAGAAAATAAAAATCACACGTACCTGGTCATGACTCCCGCCAGGTTCAGGGTGAAGCTGCTACGAGGGGGAAGGCGCTGAAATGCCTGCCGAATGCTTGTCGAAGATCACGGTGAAGATGATTGTGGCGGAGCTTGGAGGTCATGGTGATGAGCACGGCGGAGATGACGAAGATGGAAGCTCCTCGTTGGTGAGCGAGGCGAAGTCGCGTTCAGGCTTCGGCAAGGTTCGATGGACCTGTTCCTGTTGCCTGCGGGGGGAAGTAAAAGGGCCTTTACCCGATTCAGACCCTGTTCGGCAAATATAGCATAGAGGGGTCTCTCGCCAGGGCCCAACTCGTGAAAGCAAATCAAAGGACATGTTCTCTGGGTTAAAAGACACATCCTAACTAAAAACAAAAAGCCAATGTCAAAGGTCACATTTGTGCCCTGAACGAACAGTTGCAATGTTTAGACTTGAGGGCTACATCTGTTCGTCCAGAGGGTGTGCAAGTCGTGTCTGTTCAGGAAAAGGTGTGTCTGTACGTGCAGTATGTGTGTCTGTTCGAGCAGTATGAGTGGCTGTTCGTGCAAAATGTGTGTCTGTCCAAAAGAAAGTCAAAGGGCAGGTTTCCAGTTCTGTCTAAGTCGACTATTGGGTCTAGGTTCAGACACCCAGTCCGAAATTCAGGCCAGATGGCCGCAGCAGCAGCAGACCCTGAGGGGAAAATACTGGGACACACACATATGCATGGGTCTGGGACTGAGGAAGGCCCAAAGTGCCAATACAGGCCAATACAGACCTCGCCAAGGGAGGCCAGCAGTATAAAGCAATAGGCCAGCCTCCCTTGAGATCAGATTCTCCAGTGGCATTGATGAGTGGAAGTGCTGTAGCACTTGTGCGTTAGCTTGCAGGGTGAGCGCTGGCAGGAGAAGCTGCGCTAAGAAGAGGAAGGCTGGGCGCTGGCTTGCAAGAGGCAGCCATAGCTGCGCCAGCATGTTAGTAGTAGTAGTAGAAGGGTTAGTCAGTTAGTTCACAGTGAGTAGCATTCAAAGTAGATCTTCGTAGTAGGAGTGTGCATGTATGGTGGGACTAGAGAGCCAAGACTGAGATTCAAGAGAGAGAAGAACAAGAGAGTGGGGTAGGATCTGGCTATGGTGGATACTTACCTGCTGTGCGCTGTATTTGGGTTCTGAAGGTGGCGCTGGCTGAGCCAGGCCCCATTCGTGAGACAGAAGGAAGAAACTCGTGATTATGTTGGGCGCTGAACTTTGGATCTCGATATACTCTTGTATAACGTGTTAATGATTAATTGAGCTGCGCATCTTGGTTCTGTCCCATCTCATTTGGACTATGTGTAAGCTTTATCTTGTGTGAATCATTGTACATGCATGCGTTGTGATACACTCCAGCAAGAGGAGGACAGTCAGGTCCCTTGCAGAAGGGTCGCAAGACCGCTCTGATACCAGTGTAAGAAGGTGGAGACAGGGCAGCGAGGCTGGGAGAGGGAGGGAGAGTGAGAGCACACACACGCTCACTCAACTCGACACAGACTCGACACGACTCAACGGATGCAGACACAAAGTGGCAAAGTCGCAAAGTCGCAGTCTTGGATTCCTGAACACAATGTTGAAGCATAGTCACACTAAACACAAGCAATGAGGCTGAAAACTGGTTTCCTGTACTGGGCTTGAGTCTGGTCTTAAGTACCGCACTCAAGTTCAGTCCCGAGGGCAGAAGTGCAAATTGCCTCAGGGCTGAACTGAAAATCGAAGGTCTGAGTCTGGGCACCAGAATCCTGGATCGTATTGAAATCCGAAAGTGCCAAAAGAGGAATTTGAGAACGGGCGCCAACTGCAGAGGGCGCCAACAGTCAGGGCCCTGAGAACAGAGACCCAAAAATAAAAGAGCAGCCTGGAGGGTGGTAGCCCGCGGACCAGGGATCGAGCCCTGCCTGAGTCCGTAACAGGCCGAGCAGTTGCTAACCTATCTCCCTCATCTGAGGAAGCAGCTTCGCTAGCATCGGTCGGCGTTGTTGCTGCGACGACGCCCACTTTCGGCCGATGCTGATCTTTGCTCTGGCTTGCGGAAGACAAACGGCCGGCATTGCAGACTTCCGTGTTCGTCACGATGATCTGCGAGGCCTTGTTAAATAATAGTTCACTCGTGATGAGTTTCTCCGCGACTTGCGTTAAGGCATTTTGCAATGCGGGGCACAATCTCGTAATGAAGTGCTTCACGCCAGTGAAATTGATTGGCAAGTCGGGCGTGGATGCCAAGCGTTGGTACTCGGCGATCCAATCCGTGCTCGACAATTACTTATGCAGTTTTTCCATCGCCTGAAGCTCGGGCGGTTGCACTTGGAACAGCGTATGCCATTCTGCCGTAAGATCAGCCCAACTGATCTTCGTATGCCGCTCGGAGATGTCGATCGTGTGTGTCGACAAAATGTTGTTAAGCAATGCTTGACACTCGCCACCCGACGGGTGGTAGATGCACGCATGTCGGTTGGTGCCTTTCACGTTGTACATGAACAGACGCAACTCGAATTGCCGCCACCACGGTATTGGATGATGAGGCTGGGCTTGCCGCAGCTGCACGAATCTGCTGATCCAACTGTTGGTTGGTTGCGTGCTGCTGCTTCACTGTGTCCTTGACAACGCCCATGTCTACCTCCAAGTTGGAGGGTCTGGCGGGTGTGGCTGCTGCAGGCTGCTGTTCCAGCCTGTGCACACGGTCGAGCAGGTTGGCGATGAGCTGAGCCTGCTGTTTGACCAGCGTGTCTTCGCAGAGGATGTCGTCTTGTTGAGCTGTGCACGTGGCGACGAGATAGGTCACATGTGTGAATGCGGCTGCAATGCCTCGTACAGCATCGGTGGCATCTTCTGCTTCGAAAGGGACCCCCCAACCGCCGACTGCTTCCTCGATATCACCCTCGATTTCAAAGAGTGCGTCTCGGTGGATTCGAGGTTGCTGGTCTGCAGCCTTCTTTGCTGCCTCTGCGTCCTCCAATTGCAGTCTCGCAGCGAGGCAACGCTGTTCTTCTGCCTCCTCCTCCTTGTGGTTGTGGCCGCATCTGCCCGCTTCTTCCATTCGGCTAGTTGATACAACATGTGGGGCTCATAGGCCTCCTCAGTCACCCCTTGCTTCCGCTCCATGTCACCTGTCTGTGATCGAGGCACAAGTCGGAGTTAGAGGGAGGGAAAGAATTGATATCGGAAAGGGAGAGGATGAAGGAGGTTCGAAAAACGGGGGAGTTCAGAGGAAGTTGGGTCTGTGTGTGTGTGTGTGTGTGTGTGTGTGTGTGTGTGTGTGTGTGTGTGTGTGTGTGTGTGTGTGTGTGTGTGTGTGTGTGTGTGTGTG